CCTTTTTTTCCCCATTTTTGGCCTTTTTTTTCTCTCATTTCCTTTTTTTGGTCGAACCCCGTGTTTTTTTTGATTTTCCCCATTTTTTTCAATTTCCATCCTTTCCTCCTCATTCCCATCAAAATAAAAATCCCAAAATCCCAACAAACAACCCCAAAACCCCCCCAAAAAACCAACCGGGGGGGTTCCCCTCCCCCCTCCAGAAAAACCCAAATTTCCCTTTTTTTCCCTCATTTTCCCTCCCTTTTTGGTCGTTTTTTTGCCCCAAAACGCCCCAAAATCCGCGGCGGGGGGCGGGGCTACATTCGGGGTTTTGGTCCCCAAAAAAAGCGAATTTTTGGGGCGTTTTCCCCCTTTAGTTTTTCACAGTTTTCTGGAATTTTGGGGCGAATTCCGGGGGTTTTGGGGTCCGTGAGGTATCTGCGGCTGCGGGGGGAGGGGCCGGGGGGGTTTTGGTCTTTTCCGGGGAATTTTCCCTTTTTTCCGTTCTTTTGGTTATTTTTTTCCTGTTTTTTTTTTTCTTTTTTTTTCATATTTTTTTTTTTTTTTTTTTTTTTTTTCTTTTTTTCCCTCTCTTTTTTCCTTCTTTTTCCCTTTTCTCTCTTTTTTCCTTCTTTTTTCCATTTTTTCCTCTTTTTTCCTTCTTTTTCCTTTTTCTCTTCCTCTCCCACTTTTCCTTCATTTTTCCCACTTTTTTTCTTCTCCTTTTCCTTTTTTCCCGACTTTCCTCTTCCCTTTTCCGCTTTTTCCCGTTTTTCCTCTTCCTTTTCCCATTTCCTTCATTTTTTCCTTTCCTCTCCTCATTTTCTCCTCCCAGCTCCGTTTTTTCCTCCTTTTTTCCTCTTTTCCTTCATTTCTCCTCCTTTTTCTTCCCATTTCCTTTTTCTCTTTAATTTCCCTTTTTTCCCTCATTTCTCCTTTTTCCTTCTTCATTTCCTCCTCTTCCATTTTTCTCTTTTTTTTTGCTTTTTCCTCGGCTTTTCCCTCATTTTTTCCTTCATTTTTTCTCTTTTCGTCAGTTTTTTCATCGATTTTCCCCTTTTTCTTCAATGTTCCGTTTTTCTTCCACTTTTCCTTTTTCCATCCATTTTTTCCCTCATCTTTTCCATTTTTCTTCCACTTTTCCTTTTTCCATCCATTTTTTCCCTCATTTTTTCCATTTTTCTTCCACTTTTCCTTTTTCCATCCATTTTTCCCTCATTTTTTCCATTTTCCTTCCACTTTTCCTTTTTCCATCCATTTTTTCCCTCATTTTTCCCATTTTTCTTCCATTTTCCCTTTTCCATCCATTTTTTCCCTCATCTTTTCCATTTTTCTTCCACTTTTCCTTTTCCATCCATTTTTCCCCTCATTTCTCCCATTTTTCTTCCACTTTTCCCATTTTTCCCTCATTTTTCCCCTCAAATTTTCCATTTTCCCCCATTTTTTCCCCATTATTTCCCCCCATTCCCCTCCCCCCCCGGCCGCGCCCCTCCCCCCAAAGGGACAATAAATAACGGGGGGGGGGAGGGGCGCTGCCGGGTGGGGGAGGGGCTCCCCCCCCCCCACCC